TAACCCCAGAACTACCCAAAATACTCTTCCCCTTAGCTTCTAGTATAGCACAAGGGATTCATGCACTGTTTTGCATTGGCCATCAGGGGATCGCGTTCCACTCGGGCAAGATCTTAGTTTCATGTTGCATTCCAATCTTTTCCCAAAACAGTTTGAAGCTCAGGAAGCATTTAATTGGGCCAAATGAGATAGCATTCCAAAGGCAGTTCGTGCGATGAGTGGATGAGTGTTAGAAAAAAGTTTTTCATTGATTGAACCCACCCCTCACTTGATAGTTGTCTCCAAAGGAAAGAAATCCGCCAATAGGGAAGTTCCATTCGCCGCCTACTCATCCATTGTATACACCTTCAAAATACCTTGTACTGAACAAATGTAGAGTGGGATCGATACAAAATGTTGATCCCCGAACCTGTGACCCCAGTACCACTTCTCCTTTGTCACCCACGAAACATGATACCTTTCCAACGACAATCCTTTCCAGTCACGTGTTCGATCAGCGACGAGAACATTGGTCTTCGTGGTGGCCACCTACCTACTTTCAAACATCCTTAATGTCATTATCACTATCTGGGAATATATCGATTATGATTCAATCACTATCACTTTCAATACGTTCTACACATTTGCTGTTGATGTGGTGAGTTTCATTTGTGTTTATTTATAACATCACTTGTAAACATTACTTATTAGGTTGATGTCAGAGGCCATTGTATGTAAATCACTTTGAAGGGCACAGAATACTGTAATTGGTTGGGTATGTTTTGACGACTGGGACGGTAGCCCACCCTCCCCTCGCCGGTGGCCTTTGTTTAGATCTGCCCTGTAACCTCTTTTTTTACTTTCCCGGATTGAACTCCGAATGGAACCGCTGGCATGCTTTGAAAGGTTTCTGTTCAGGTCTCACTGCTCACAATATTCGCTGGAGCTCTTCGACTGCCTATCTACGTATGCTGTCAGACGGAGTTACGAAAAGACTTCATTGCACGACTCAAGAGGATCTGCTACCGTAGCCCTTACAAGGTATTCTATTGAGCTATACTTAAGCTCTAATCCTACTCTCAAGCCCCGAATGTAAAACCTCTGACGCCTATAAATATGAAGTTCTGAAGTACCCGTTATTCTCTCGATCTGTTTCTACCCTACATGCTTCCCAAGCATAACCTTTGTTTTGACCTACGGGAATCCTAATTATTCATTTATTTAATTACAACCAAGGGTATACCAAATAACACTAACACAAAAGTCAACAAAAGGACCACCTCCCACCTCAACCATCTCCCTATTCGACATTCGGCGCTGGAGTTTCCGTTTTTTCAGGGCTACAACCAGACGGTCATGACGCCACTTGAGACCTTGGATGAACTAAATCGGGAAGAAGGTGACATCCGTGATGTTTGTGCTGAAGAAGAC